ATATTAAATATATTTCAAATATTAGGCACAATAATTTTGTCATCCAAGGTCATCCAGAGGTAAAACAGATCACATTTTCATCTGTGTGGATGAATAAAAAGATTTCCAGACTAGACAGGAAGATGTTTCCTGCCCTGGTTTTGTGTAAAACAAGATGATAGAAACCTACAGTGTATAATTATCCTGTTTCAGTTCATCTCATACCAAGATGTCTTTTTTATGCCTGGGTTTCTTAATGATGACTTCTTTTTGTGTGTAAACAGGCAGTTTGTTAACAGTAGTTACATTCCCTGTAGTTATTTGAATGCCTCTATGATCTGCTGCGAATTGCCTTGTAAAGCAAATCAGCAGATCATTGGATTTACTGCTTGTCATGAATATGTGAGCGTGTTAAACCAAATCATAACAGAACAAACAGTTTCAGGGCAAAGATGCAGCACTTTGAGGAATTAACCCGGAGACATAGGCTGGCAATTAACCAGTGAGTTAGAGAGCTGTCTATTGTTGGATCTCGCTTAGAACCAGAACCAGAAAGAACAAAACTACAGTCTACTGGCAAAGTTTGCTTATGTAAAACAGACAACAAACTCTCACACATGCAGTCATCCATTTACCTCCACCGTTCTTCTGGCACAGATAGGGAAACCTCCAAACGTTTCCCAGGCCAACCGAGAAGCCGACCTGAGCGAGGATGTACTCCAGCTTGTTGTTCCACGCCGGCCGGCCGTCCTCGGCGTCCTGCTCCGGGAGCAGAGACCTTCCTGGGGCGGTGGACCCGGGACTCAGACCCATACTCATCTGACTGCTCTTATAATCCATGGGGTGCTCCAGGGACAGCAGGTCAGCCACAGACTCTGTGACCGGCTCATTGCTGTGCTCCCGCTGAGTCACCTTGGTGTTTTTTGGCATGGCTGCTGCGAACGACGGAGCTCCTTCAGAGGGGAGGCTGATGACGGGGAGCGAAGAGGAGGATGTCCGGCAGAAGAGCGGCCAAGTTGGTGTGTGTCGGGATGAGAAAGTTGTGCTTTTCCTAAATCTGTGAAGAGACGTCATATAGAACAAAATGTCACATTTTACGCAAAAAAAGTGTATTTTAAGAGGTTTAAGTCTTATATTGTTAATTTTAAAGTAAACCGGTATGACCAAACTTTTAAGCTCAATTGAGACATTTGCTCAATGTTTTAGAAAATTCCCACGTTTTTGTCATGAAGTGGCGGTTTTGTGATGGTGAGAACGAACGCAGGAACCCAGTTTGAGATGATGATGATGAAAAGTTTAATAAGAAAGTGACTCAAAACAGTCCGGTTCAGGCAGCACGGCAGAAGGCTTAGCAACAGCTAAATACCAGTAGCAACTCAAAAGACAAGACTGAAAACGAGAGCTGAGTCGACACAGGACTTATCAGTTCTACTGTGACGACTACTGACGGTGACACACAAACACACAAGGATCTGACAAAGAACAGAGACAACAGGTGGGCTTAAATACACAGGGAGTAATCAGGGGGACTAGGTACACAATTGAGGAGCAGACAGGACATCACAGACTCACAGGGGAACAGAACTAAATAAACTTAGAAAAACCTAGAAATAAATACACAAAAAACTCAAATCCTCACAGTTTTGCCTTTTATTGAGCTCCATCCAAGTCTGACGTCCTCCCAGCTAGAGAAAAGTGTTCCCACAGCACCATACTGACACCATTGTGTTTCGCCATGGAGAAAGCATGTTCAGGATGTCTCTGCAACTTAACCTTTTGCATGACGACCAAAACATCCCATCTTGGTCGGATCTGAGCAGAGTCCATTCTTGTCCATGTTTTCCCTGCATGCTTTGTGGCAATCTGCACATCAGATTTCTAATGACTTTCTTTCAGCTATGGCTTTCTCACCGCCTCTCTTCCATGTAGTACCAAAATTGTGGAGTTTATTGACCAGTTGACCTGCTGACTGAGCGATTAATCTCTGGTAGGTTTTCAGGTCTGTTGTACTCTTTTATTTTCAGATGATGGGGTGAACAATATTATCCTACAGCCAAACCCTGATTTAAACTTCTCCTGGCCTGTCTGCTGCGTTTCTTGTCTCTATGAATCTGTTTGTTCACCAATCTCCTCTAACGAACAGCTGGACTCACACTGAGACTCAGTGACACAAAGGTGGTCTTCGTTGACATCTGAAGACAATTTGCTACACTTGTAACATGACACAAGGCACAGAAAATGGTTAACAATTGCAAAATACCTGCTAACATAAAGCACATATCTTTCACAGGAGATAAATTATGATTGAAAATCCAGGATTATTCCTAACATTTCCTCACCAGATCTCTAGTTTTCTGATGAATTGGTGATTGGATCCATCTCATAAACATTCACCAGCTGATTAATGACTTAAAATCTTAAAATAAAAGATGTAAAGTATCTTGTTGCATGTGAAAAAATGTCTCTAGCAGAAATGAAATGAAAAAGCAGACATAGATTTTTACTGAAACTTTATAAATCAACAACAAAGCAGTTAGGTTTTTGTTTAAAACCTGAAGTATTTTTAAACAGCAGCACTTGAGAGCCATGAGGCCGTTCTGTAATCCACTTCATTACAGCAGTTGAATCTCCCAGACTGAATTACAATCCGTTTCACAGTAAAGCCCATTATACCAGAGTTGAGTCATGTGAACAGCAGTGAATGGTCTGTGTGTCTCTCAGGAAAACGCAGCACAACTAAACTAAACCCTCTGAGCTTTAATCAGCTGTTAATGACTTTTTTTTTCCTTATACACGCTTTTACACGTTGTCAACAGGGTTTTTTTTTTTTTATTACTGTGTGAAACAATGTGACGTTCTGGAGTAATGGTGAATTTTTCTTTTTTAGTTGAGAAAAGCATGTTGGGTTTTCCACGGCATATAGAACCTTAACTACTTAACAAAAGAGAAACTGTGATCGATTAGTTTTATTGTCCTACATTTACGAGGATTTAATGGCCATTAACTGATTAAACCAGTAATCTACTGGTTTAGCATTGGTCTGTCCAGCAAGCAAAACCTCGTCTGTTTTCAATGGTTCCTACATTCATTCATTGTTGCTTTATGGTTTTTTTTTTATCACTCTATATTTTGCAGAGATAGAAAAAGGAAAAGTGAGAATCATTTGACTACTTGCACAGCCCACATTTAATAAAGTAATTCCAATAATTATTTCAACAAATAAACAACAAATTGTCAACACTTAAATTTCACACCTCACCCAGGCAGGAGTTTGTTTTTCTTCTTTACAAATGTTCGCTTCTTCATCACGGCAAAAATCCTCGAATGAACTTTTTAAATATTTCAATTTTTTTTTTTTGCTTTTGTTTTCACCCTTAAACATAAATAAAGCTACATGGAAATAAAACTAAAACTGAAGACATTGGGAACACTTCTTATTGCTCTTTTTGCATTACAAAAATTTGATTTGATAACTTTCTATATCATTTTCCACAAAATTTCCACACATCGTGTGCCTAACAGATCCACAAGTATCTGGTAAAATGTGCAAACGTCTTCATGTAACATTTTCTTACCTTACAGTAAACGCAGAGCAATTCAGCCTTGCAGAGGTGAAATTAAATTAATTAGATCTACAACGTCAAAAGCCTAATTAATTTCAGTTTTTAATTTCAATATGTGAAACTCATGCACATAGATTAAAATAATTAAATAGTTTGTTTCTATTAATTTTGATGATTATGTTGGCATAAGCTTAAAATATGGTTTCTCTGAAAATGTGATGATTCCATACGATCATTAAAAAAACTTTTCACTGCAGACATTTTCTGTTGCGGCAGACAAAATCATGAAAACATTGAGTTAATGTCCTGGACCGAGATACAGACTGCTGCTCTGAAAGGAGCTCTGACAGTGCACAGATTGAGGTATTCAGGCATATTATTGGAAAGTTTAGTGGAAGTAAAAATCTCCTAAAGCATCAGGAAAGACTGATAAAGGAAGGTCATTAAAGATTATATAGGGAGATTAACAAAGTGAGGACTGAGCTGATGCTTTCAAAGTAATCGCAGCAAAACATAATCAATATGTCTATAAATTAATGGTTCAATTTTTAAACTGAATTGGTGAAATATGTTTTTGATGGTGTTGTAATTAAATAATGTTAAAATGTACCATTCTAACTTGGGGAAATAAAAACAATAATATATATCTTATAAAAATTGGGACAAAATAGTTGGAGAAGAACTATGGATTTCTGCAAACATAGCTTTTGTTCCAATGTCTCCTCTCATCTTGTGTTAAAACTCACTAAAGAACCCAAAAACCAATCCCAACCTCCATAATATTAAATGCACATATTTAGCTCCAGCATTATACATTTGAAGCAAGTGTTTGAAATGCACAGGGCGTAAGTTAGCTGCTCTTGTGCTAATTAACTAAAGGTTGGCTAAAGAAAGCCTAACACATTACTGACACAGGTGACTTTTGTTAAATGCCAGAACAGCAGCTGTGCAGGTAGAAAATGAATGAGCAGACTGTCAAAGCTGAGGCAGAGCAAAACGTGAGACTTTTTGCTCCGGCAGCTCAAGGGCAGAGAAGAAAAGTCAGAGGTGTTTGATCTGAAGACAAGGAGCTTAATCTGAAAGCACATGCAGCCGACAGATATCTGAGCCCAGATTCCAGTCGGTCCTGAAGAACGGTAGCCTGACGTTTGAGGTCGTCTGAGGGGCTGAACGAGTCGCTCACACATCCACATTCCTCAGCAGTCACGACACACACATGGCTCCGAGGCAGGGTGCACGACGCACATTCCAGGACTGCAGCCCACAACTACTACACTGATTCATCCACAAGGTCCGCGCGAAGAAAGAGGCTCAGATTTGATCTGTGCACTGTTTTCACACAGATAGAAAAATCAGGAAAGTGGGAAACTACCCAAAGTGTAGAGATTGGGTATGATTTATAATTCGGAGGTGTCAAACACGTTTTCATTTCGACCCATTTCAAACATCTGAATGACGATTTTAATGATAAAACCCACTGAACAGTTAAAATATTAATAAACAGCAGTTCCTCCTGGATTTTGTGATTGTTTTTGGAATCAAAATCACAACTAGAAATATTTGCAAGGGATTCCTACTATATTTGCATTAATGTGACTTTTTATTACTCGCTGTCTCAATCACGGACTATAACTTAGCATCAAGTAAGGCTGAGGCAGCAGTCAATTAAACCCAATGTTTTTAACCAATTTTGAAAAAAATGTGCAGTAAAATAAAATAAAAAATGGGGATTTGTTGATTTTGTTTGAATTTTGTGGATTTGTGAAAAACTGGAGTTACTTATTGATGTGAGTTTGAGTCTAGAGGGCCACATAAAAAGCTACAGAGGGACAGATTTGGCCCCCGGGCCTTCAGTTTGACACATGTGCTCTAATTGTTTCCCAAAATAGTTTTCAATTATGTTGAACAACTGAACAGGAAAGCAAACAGAAGGTCAAATTTAATCAATGACAAGTTTCCAATTTCACAAGTTAGTGTGCAACTAAAGACGATAAAATGCCTCAGATTGACGTTATGTACCACTGTGCAACTTAAACTCAATTTAAACACAACTTATATGTGGCAATAGCCTGAACTAAACACTACACATTACCCTGAACACCCCACCCCCAAGGTGACACATGGTGGTGGCAACATTATGCTGTGGGGATGCCACTCTTTAGCTGATCAGAGGGCAAATGCAGGGTAATCCTTATAAAGAACTTGCAGCTTCCAGCAGGAATACAAACCAAAACATACAACCAGAACCACGAAACATATTAATGTGTTAGAATGGTCAAGGTATACATGAGCAAAGCTGTTAGAAATATAGCCCCCATAACAGCTGTAATTGTAGAGACGGGTAAACGATTGACAAAAGGAAGCAAACTATCATTTTCCTTCCACTTCATAATGATGCACTACTTTTTGTTTGTCTATCTCATGAAATTCCTCTAAAACATATTGAATTTGTAGTGGTAACATGACAAAATTAATTTTTAAGAAATAACTAAACAACTGGATATAAACACTTTTGCAAGGCCCCCCAAAATGTTTCATCCAGAGGGTGGAGAGGATTGTACCAAGACCTGCATCTTCCTTCAGCTACATCCCCGAGTTTCCACAGACCCCCTGGAGCTGATGATGCAACCAAACAGGTTCCTCATGACGCTTTGCTCCACTTGCATCTGCTGTGGTTGCCTAGCGATGGGCTCTTTCTGAAAAATTGAAATCCCATCTTCGCAGCATCAGTGCTCCTCTACGTCTCTCTCTCCCTCTTTCCCTCCTCTCGTTATCTCAGATGGTCAGACAATGATAATACATCCCCCCGAAGGAAATAACAATGAGCTGCATGTGACAAAAGTGAAGTGTGTGGAGGGGGGACGGAGAGTAGGTGATGGATCTGCAGTCGCATCTTTTGCCAGTATCAGTCAGGGAGGCAGCCATCACGCACGGCTCATCTCATCTGTTGGGCTTTTTTAGATTTGAACCAACTCCAGGCTGAAAATGGAGTCAGTGCAAATCAGACTCTGTTTGATTGGCTGCTGAACTGAATGTTAGATCAGGAACAACAGCTGACTGAGAAGATCCAGCCGTCAGTCAGGCGAGAGCTGGAGGACAGATTCCGTACGTGGATAACAACCTCCGTCAAGGTCAAAGTAAGCCCCTAGCAGCGATGCAGGGATGCAAACGGAAGTCAGCATAAAACTGAGCGTCGGAAAGGGAGGATTGATCAGCACAAGTGTTAATGTCGCGGGCCGAATAACCAACCGGGCTGTTCGTCAGGTGAGGAGCTGAATGCTGCCACTCCTCTCTGTCTTGTGACCAAAAGCGCCTCGCAAAAACTATAATAACACACACAAAAAACTAAATGCTGAACAGAAAGAGGAGAAAATGGAGCACACTAACGATGTGGTAGGTCCTACCTTCTTTGCGGTCTGCGGATCGGGCCGGTGTGGCTGCATAAATCCTGGGTGAATGTATGCTGCGTTCATTCAGCCACCGTCTCTGCATGCAGCATCTCTACGCGCTGCTAGATGCGAACTCAACAGAGAGCCTCCAGCCGCTCACAGCGCACGGTGCGTAAAGTCTGACGCAGGAGCTCAACGCCAGCCACAAGTTCCCCCGCTTAAAACTGCGATTAACCGGCCGATCGCCTCCGTTTGTCTCACTTCTCCTGCCGGATGATGCTCTCCAAATGACTTTCTCTCACTCTCGCCTCTGATTTCCACGTGGTTTCAGCCGTGTTGTGGGGCGGGAAAAAAAACAAAAAAACAAAACATTACTATGGAAAGTCACGACGAAGTCTGACGCAGGTTTGACTCATCCGCCCGTGCGCACGTCAGAGACTGATCCAAAAAAAAAAAAACATCTGCAGTGTTCACTGGATGTTAGGATAATGAGAGGATCGCACAGATAGTCTTCAATCAGGTGCTTGATCAGTGAAAAAGTTCTCTCCCTCAGAACTGCTCAGATGATGATGTCTGAACGATCATCATATGAAATGGCAGGCTTGATAAACTCCAATATAATGAACCTGGGTGGTTGCACAACTTAATGGTCGTTTCTCAAGCAGAGCTAATATGTGGCAAAGTCATTTTTCTCTCTGACACCAGTTGTGCCCTTGGCTCTGCACATCCTACCTCATTTTATCAGACAGATGTCTGCAGGACTTGTTTCATTATTATTATTTTTTTCAGATATAATTACCCACATCATGGTGATCATTGTCAGTGCTGTCAGTCAACCTTCTCACAGTCATTGCAACCACTTGCACTTTCTAAAGTCTTTACCGATTACAACTAACTCCACTGGATTTTTTTGTGCTACATCAACACCGAGTGATGAAAAAGGAAAATAACTCCAGATTTCTAGATTAAAAAAAGAAGAAATCTTACAAAAGTTTGCATTCAATTCCTTTTACGCTGATTTCTGAAGGAAATCCAGTGCAACTAATTGTCTGTAGAAATCCTCGAATTAAAAAAATGGAGTCTCTGCCTGTGTCTATGTTAATCTTTGAAGGCGTCTGAGGTGAAAGTTGGTCTGAAAAAAAATCCCTAAGTTTGTCAAAAGCCATACAGCGGACACAGCAACTATAGAAAAAGGTCCTCTAGTCAGATGAGAACAAATTTGAACTATTTATTTGGTCATCAATGACCTTGACAGAAATAGGGCTCATCAGCCTGAACACACCATCAACAAAAACACGTATGGTAATGGCAGTTTTTCTTTTGGCAGGGAAAAGTTAATTACAGGGTAAAGCTGGAAGAAAACCTGATAGAAATGCTGAGACTGTAGTGGAAGATCCTACCAGCAGGACAAGGAGTCAAACACCCAGCCAGCGTTACGTAAAATGGTTTAATGCATGTTGATGTGTTAAGATCTTCCAATCCGTCACAAAATTGATGTTCACACATTTTCTCCATCCCATCTGACTGCAGTTGAGCTATTTTGTACCACAGGGACGAAGAATTTCTAATGAATTAGTAATAAATGTGTCTTGGGCAAAACAATGCCTACATTTCACCTTTAGAGGACAAGAGGCAATTTATTGAGACATTACTGACCTTAGATTACTTAATAAAAATGCAAAGTGTGCAAAAATGTCACAAAAGCAAAATGTGTTGAAACGCAAAAGGTCTGGGTTTAATATTTGAGCCGAAGCCACAAATGTTTGAGATGAAGAGTAGAGAAGAAGAGAGATAACCTAACACCTGCTGAAACAGGAGTGATCATTTTCTTTATTTAATCTTTTTATAAGCTTAGTGTGCAGGTGACATGTCAGATTATTTTATTTATTTATGTTTTATGCTCAGCTACCTCAGAGTTACCTTTGCATGCATCACAAGGTGCTTCCAAAACACACACACATGCGCACGCGCGCACGCACACACACACACACACACACATGCAACACTGCATGCATGCGTGCATGCGAGGTGTGCTTCCTGTCTCCTTCAATTCGCCCATGTGACTCACTTTTCCACAGACTGCCTACTGGGATCAGTTGCCATAGCAACCAGCTGATCATATGATGGTTACTCACTCTTTGAGCTTTTTCTCTCTTTTTATTCCCCACCCCTCTCTTCTTCTTCTTCTTCTTCTTGTTCTTCCTTCCTCCTCCTCTTGAGCACCTTTTTACCGCCGCTCGTCTCCGCTGTCGTGAATGAGCCGCTGAACTTAACAGTGCGGCAGCATCATCCTGACCACCTCAGCAAACTCAGCATGCAATCGATTCACCCGCTGGTGGTTTTGCAGCCCCTGGTGTTTGGTGACTCACAAACACAATGGTTATCACACCTTGAAAATTATGCAGCGCCAACCCGATGTCCCCTGCCTCCTGTCAAAGCCCGGAGTCTGGTGCAGGATTACTCGCCTTAAAGCTTCATGGATAACACACACAGGCCTCATCCTTAAAGTGAAAACCCAGAAATACTGAGACAGGCACTCGCACTTCACATTTTATTCTTGAGAAATTGGCAAACGAAGCAGAAAGATTGTCCCACGACTTCCCATCAGCACATTTTTCATCTCAAACGCTGCTTCCTTTACCCAGGTGATTTTATTTTTATTTTTACAATGCTGTCAGGGCGGTTAAAGAAGTAGAGGCGGCGAGGTTCTTGGATGCATTCCTAATGTTTCACACTCTGTTAAAGTAGACCGCAGAATGGAGGGCTAATGAGGCATCAGACCGGGCTGTGATTTACAGCTCTCTGAAGGGCCATTTATCGAGGCTTAGTTCTGTGAAGTCGGACAGCTAACCTCCCTGTAAACAGAGGCTTATCTGCAGTCTTCTCCAGGTTCATGATACATTCAAGTCATGTATTGTCCTCTAAATGTCTGTTTGACATCATGTTTGGGACCGCACATGTAGGATAGAGACATGTTTTTGAGAGGAAAGGAAAATTTTATTTCATAAATTTAAGGGAGGAGGAAATATTTATCTGAGGTCTGAGACTCAAACGGGCATTTTTTTTTATCTTAGACAATCAGGTGACAGTAAGTTAAATTTTCAACATGGTCACTTTAGTCAAAGTTGACAAACAAATTACATTTCTACATATTAGTTTTCAATAATGTTTTTTTTAACAGTACAACACCTCCCTAAAGCAATAACACCCTTTGAATTGAACTTGTTATTTGAGTTAAGTGACAGGAAAATGTTTTGCGGTTTTCACATTTTGAATACAAAATAAAATCTGAAATATTGTGATGTGTATTTGTATTCAGCTGCCTGTGAGTCGGTGCTTTGTAGACCCACCTTTTGGTATAATGAAAGTCTTTTGGCCTGGGTCTCTACCAGCTTTGCCGAGATTTCTGCCCATTTTTATTTTATAAAGTAGGTAAAACCAGTGGAGAAACACCTGTGAACATAAATTTTTAAGCATTTTCCCCACACAGCATCTTAGGTGGTGGACATTATTCAATAAATCGGTAAGCTCTGGAGGCAATATTGATCAAACAGAATTTTATGGAGCGAATTTGAAAGGGCGATACACACCTTTAAGATTTTATTTTAAAAAAACAAATAGCAAAGAACACACTACTTTGTGTTGATCATCAAATCCTGATGAATGCAATGAATTTTGCGGTTCTAACATGACAAAATGCAAAAAAGCCACAGGTGAATCCCTTCACAAAGCATCAGAATCACATAATGTGAATGCAGTCATGAAATTTCCTTTGAAAGAATATCTGACATTAAAATTGGGATTGCACAAAGAAAACGCTGCATACTCGGATGGAAAGTTATCCTTCAGCTTAAATTCAATTAAGGAAAGAGGATATAGCAAATGATACTGCAGGACGTTCCACTCTCCATCTGCAGAGTATCATCCCCGACCCCCCCAGGCCTCAGGAGAAGCAGGTTGCCAGGTCACAAATTAAACATGCTGACGAAAACCTACGGGCAAAACCTGTTCCTCGTCTCGGGGGGTGTTTCTGCGCAGCTGAGCCACGTCGGCTGTTCATGGTCCAACTCATTCTCTCTGCTCCCCCTTTAGCCACCTGCCAGTGGCTTGCTCCAGAATCCATCAGTGTGCTGACACCTTGCCCACTCCCCTCTGGGCCTGTGAGGGCAGGTGCTGGAAGAAGGCAGACAAATGAGGCGGGTGAGGGATTTTAGCAAGTCCCACCACTGTTTGCTGGATTCGTTTTGTTGAATGACAACAACGCTGTGACTATCAACTCAGTTCAAACCCGTAGAAATATACAAATTATTTAAAAACAACAAAGCATGCTGTATTCACTCTCATGTTCAAGGACAGCTAAATCATTTGTATTCCATCCCTCTCCTTCCTCTATTTCCCTGTAATAGCCCGTCCCGGCTGCGCAGCTGACAAGAACCTCATTAGCAGTGGCTAAAGCTGCTCTCCGCTTCCTCAGATAAAGAAATAAACACAAAAGTCACAACCAGGAGAGCAGAACCATTAGTATTGGCACCTTTGATGAATGTGCAGTCACAAAAATCAATGAGGGGAATTAGGAAATAAGATGGCAATGCCTGAAGAAAATGACAATTAAAATTTTCTTTAAACTTGGCAGTAAGGTTGTTTAAAAGAGATACAAGAACAAACTGAACTTAGCTATTATAATTCAATTAAGCCATTGTAGTTCTGAGACAATATCCCCGTATTTACTCAACTCCAAGGCAAAGCTTCACGTTATTCTTTATAGTCGTTGCTCTGTGTGGTTAAGTGTGTTTGAGGACGAGTGGGAAGTAGCGGCTGAAAATAGATCAGAGGACTTATAACGTCAGCAGGATTACCACATCAATGAATCTGTTTTTCTCTTAAATATACTATTTACATGTGCTGTTGTTGTGTGCATCAGTCAGCATTATATTGGCCAAACAATCGCTGGCAAGCGTTTTAAAACTTGACAGAAATCTTGTTAATGAAAAATGCCAATTCTTCTGTTTGTGTCTTTTCACTTTACATGGCATTTAGGCTCCTATGAGGAGGAATTAGATGATCCACTGGCAACAACTATGTGAAACACAGACAACAGCCAAGTTCAAGAACATGACATTAATCATCAAAACTAATCGCCTCAACAAATGCATCCACTTTTCATCATCACATCATTACAAGCTCCAAAAAGAGAGATTCAGCTGTTGTTGGTGAAACCTTCAGGGGACCAAGAAAGTCTAACAAGGGAAACAAACATCTATTTCCTAAAGACGCCTCAGCCTAGAAACTGGACTGCTACTACTGCAGAGCTGGCATAAAACCGGCAGCATGTATGTAGGCATGCATTTCTGCACACAGTAAGTCAGAGTCACCTGGTTTGGCATTATGAAGGGCAGCATAAAGCCGCTGCACCACCTGACATTCTGCAGGAAG